AGCAATTCTCTTGCCTCAGCCTCCCAAGTAGCTGGGACTATAGGTGTTCGCCACAACACCTGGCTATTTTTTTGTTGTGGTTGTCATTGTTTAGCTGGCCCGGGGTGGGTTCGAACCTTCCACCCTTGGTGTATGTGGCTAGTGCCGTAACCACAGTGCTATGGGTGCCAAGCTATGAATGCTCGTTTTGGGGGCCGGCACCCTACTCCTTGACCCACAGGCACCGCCTGTGAATACTCATTTTTAAAGAAACATTTTAGAGAATAGTGATTCCTTTTCAAATTTAAAAGCACGCGCAGTGGCTCATGCCTGTAATCCCAGCACTCTGGGAGGCCAAGATGGGAGCAGCACTTAAAGCCAGGATTTCGAGGCTACAGTAAGCTATGATTGAGCCACTATACTCCAGCCTGAGTGACACAGTAAGACCCTGTCTCTTTAAAAATTCATTTTAAGTGATTATCACTTTATAGTCTTTATAAGTATTTTGCTTAGTTATTTAGTTGATGAAAGAGAGCTGTGATGTCCATTTGGAATCTTTTCCTTTCCTCAAAACAGCTGAGGGAATTTATCCATATGAAGCTCAGCTTGCTTGTCTTCATAGGAAACTGTAGGCACAGTAGTGGTTTTGAAAACCTAACACAGAATAACATTATTAAAGTACCAACATTTAATGCGCCTGTGTGCCAGAGACCAAAATAACATGTGGCAGACATCATCCATGTCTTGGAGAGATTTTTTAAGGTATCTTACAAAGTGGCAAAATCCTTGTAAAACATTTTTGTCTGTTTCCAAAATCTTAGAATTAAAGTTTTCATTTGTATTCACAATAATCCCATTTTTCCATGTGTCTATAATAAAGATTATACCTACAACCTTTTTTCTTCTTAAGCAAAGAAAGGGTCTCCTCTGTCACTTCTGTCAAACTGATGCTCTTAATGAACTCGGGGATGGCAGCTCATTTCAGAGTGGGATGATTTTAACCAGGTAAGTAAAAAAGGGTGGTAATAAAAGTTTTTTAAAGTTGGGGGCAGATGAAGACCTCAGGATATAAGTAAGCTAGAACTAGCTTCCTACATTGCTGGGCTTACAGGCCTGTGTCCCCAAGCCCCTTGGTGGCAACCTCTTCCCTTGTCTGTGCTATAGCGGAGTGTCCCATCTGCCACTGCTCAGATTGATTCTGGACCAGGGCAGCTCACGACTTCCTTGGATAGTATCTTTCCTTCCTCCGTTCAGGAGACCAGGACTCTTGCTAGATCAGCATCATTCCCAGATCTCAGGAGGACCCCTCAGAGATGGGTCTTTCTGTTCAAAAGCTTCCAGCTGAGTCTCTGCCTGTCCTGCCTGGTCAACCAGGAACTTGTTTTGCTCACATTTCAACAGTGCACGCGGGAGCATTTGTCTTGATAGCCTCTGAGATCATTCTGGCACCAGATTCCCCAATGTGATTTCCCTGGAGACTGGAAAAGAAGTGTTAGGTCAGGACTCGGCTTGGAGCCTGCAGGTTCTCCATAGCAAAGCTGGTTAGCACTACAGAAAAGCCAGAATCTCTGTTTCCAGGACCCCTCCCATGGACAAGGCACAGGGTGGCTCCCTCTTAGACCAAGTTTCTCTGGAGAGTTGCTGAGGGGCCTGGGAGTCCTCTGAATTCTAGAATTAGTCAAAGACGGGGTCTGACCTGAGAGTAGTTCTGAAGGTGAGCAGAAAGGGCGGAAGCTGCTGAGCCTCACTCACTTGATATGCTGGAGCCGGTGGTTTCCAGAGAGTGCGGTGGCGACACATATTGCCCCATCCATCCCTAATGAATTCTCTTGAAGACTAGGCAGAGAGAAGATGGAGGCACCAGAGGAAGCCAACACTATGTTGTCTTGTGGGGGCAGCAGAAGGGACCAGCAGTTCTGGGGCTAATTTATCCATGGGCACCATGGTAACCACTAGGTGGCAGCTGACCCTTGAGACTGGCATCTACAAGTAGCCAGATTGTCCCACCCAAGTGCCACGGAGGAGGTAAGACCTAAATGCATATGCTAAGTATCTGACTCCTGACTTCAGCAAATAAGCAAACCGAACTGCAATTTAATGTGGGCCGTAATGATCAGAACAGTGCGAATGATTCATACTCAGAAGGAAATAGCTAGAGAGAAGATGAGCATTTTATCCCAAAAGACCCAGCAGGGAAGTTTGCTGCCCTGGGACAATGGTTGGTCTCTGCAACCACTTACTTGAGTCTTCGGAGACTTGAATTTACCTTCAGAGCGCTCGCCAGGGCTTTGGCTCCGGCCACCCCAATGGCATTTCCTCTCAAGCTGTCAGGAAAAACAGGAAACCTAAGACACAGGGACAGGCTGGGAGGTGATTATGATGCCTCTTCAGGTGAGTGTAGTGTTACTTGGTGATGGAAACATGGACTTGAGTGGTGACAAGGGTTACAGTTAAAGTTGCTGCTGCCACCTCTTTGCCCAGGAACAAAGCTTGGCTCTTGGGAGCAGGGCATGCAGGAAGGTGAGGCTGGCCCAGTCTGGGTGTTTTGTGGAGCCCTCATCCTCTTCCATTCCAAACAGAAACCTGGGCTGAGGCAGGAGGAGCTGCACTCCAGGAGCAGGTCCCAACAGGGATGATGGGGACACAGTGAGCCCCCCAAACCCAGCCTACGAGGAGTTTAGATCTCAGAGATCAGCCTGGGCAAGGCCAAACGGCAGAGCAGGAGCTTAAGGAGAGGACAGCAAGTGACAGTGATCATTGGGACAGGGGATGAAGTGAGAATGGGGAAATTGGACATACCATGTACTTGATCTGAAATGAGGGTTGTTAAAATGATTTGAGTTGCCATGTAAACTGGTTATGCCCTATACCCATTTTGAATCAATAGCTTGTTTCTTTGGTGAAAAGATGTAGCTGGAAAATGGAAACTTACTCAAGAATCTCCAAGGTTCTGTTCACAGCCAGGGCCTCCCCGAGTGCCTGGGCCCCTGGGGCACCAATGGAGGCCACCTGGAGACTGAGGGGTATTGTGGTCAGAGCAGCATGGATGTGGTACCCTCCTCCCTCTACACCTGTCCTGAGCCTGGCTCCCTCCAGACTCTCACTTCACTTTCAGCACTCCTTGACTTAGGGCTGAAAGTGGAGAAGGTACTGAAAATTGTTGGCCAATGACCTGTCTGAATGCTTCATCCCCTGCCTACACTGATGCCTAAGACAGAGATCTGGATGCTAAGGACACAGGAAATAGAAGCAGTTTCCTGGAAAGGTTGGGGGAGAATGTTCACTGTACCCCTCTATCTAGATGTTTGATTTCTCAATTGCTAATATTAATATTTCCTATAATAGGAAAGTGGAACTTTCCTTGACTTGCAAACAAAAGCATGAAAAGGGCTGGTTTCTGGGACTGTCAAGCACAAGGACTTACTAGAGAGCAGTGAGGGCTGTGTTTGCCTTCAGTGCACTGGCCACCGCAGATGCTCCTTCGTCCCCAATGGCATTCTCCTGTAAACTAGACACAGCATGACCCCTTCATGTGCATGAGGTGCTGGGAACATTCTAGCAATTACCTGCCGGGTTTTGACCTTCCAGATTTGACTACAGACATTACAGACATTAGACTCCCAGAGTCACCCTGCCCTTAGTGAACAGCAATTAAAGGCCTTGGCCTCATAATTAATGCACAGAGGGGTTTGGAGTCTGCATGAGTCTGGACAAGGCAAGCAGAAGGCAGAGGCAAGCAGAAAAGACGTGGAAATTACTGACAACAGGGACTTGGGACAAAAAAATGGTATGCTTTTCAAAGCCAACCAGAAAATTAAAGCCCTCAATTCCTAGGATATTCTTACTGGTCAGGGTTTTGCATCTTTCCCCCCTCCCACACTGGAGGAAAATAGCAAGCCCTAGAGCCGTAAATGATAGAGTTCAGTTCACATGGACGTTGGCATGAAGGGAGCAGTTTCCCTTCATGATTTTAGCAATCTGTGTCTGTGTGCTGGGTGTTGTGCAAGGCAGGAGGCACCTTCTGCCCACTCAGAGGGAAGACATAATTAAAAGCAGTTACAGTAGGCCAAGTGCTGGCTGCAGAGGAGACCATCTGTGTGTTCTACCCTAGTGTGATTACAGAAAGTGTAAACCAAAACCCAAAGGATGAGATGGGAGAGGGCCTGGCACATCTGAGAAACCCAAACAAGTGGAGCTGAGTTTCTAGAGTGGTGAGAAACAAAGCTGGGGAGATTGAAAAGACAGCAGATCTGAAGGGGCCTTGTGAGCCATACTCAGTACTGTACTTCATCCTGCAGGTTCTGGGCAGCCATTTAAAGACCACACTCAGGACAGGGACAGATTCATGTTCCAGAAAGATTGATGGGTAGCAATGTGGAGGCTGCTGTGGGATGCTAGTGAGTGGTGAGAGCTGGAACAGTTGGTTGATTGGTTACATTTGCGAGATTGGGAACCAAGAAGCAGGCTTGTGGGAGAGAACACAGGCAGCTGGCAGTACCTGGGAAACACCGTAGGGGAGATGTAGAGTGGTGTGGGTGCAGGGGGTTGGTGCTTGGGGAGGAGGTCATTGGAATCCTGGGGAAAGAGGAGCTCCTAGAAAGGAGTCCTGTGCCTGATGGACACCAGGTTTCCAGATCCCACTTCTGTACAGCCCCTGAGCACCATACTCACTCCAAGCTGGTTAGGTTCCGGTTGAGCTGTAGTGCTTGTCCCAGGACTTTGGCAGCACTGGCCTGGATGAAGTTCCATTGCAAGCTGAGGAGACATAAGACATGTGTGACCAGGTGGCCCACAGCAGAGCCAACTGGACAGGGGATGGAGTCCTGCAGGGTGTGGCAGAATTCCTGCCACCTCCTCAGGCTCAGTCCCCCAAAGGGCTACATGCCTACTCTGTTGGTGGTGACCACAGGGACAGGCTCAAGTAGGGACTCTTCAGATGGCCTGTGCATGAAGCATGGGACACCATGAGGTACAACATGGACATTCACCTCCTAACACTTGTCTGTGGAGCAGCCTTAGAAATCAGAACATGGGACAAAGCATGGCCTGCTGGAGGCTGCGGGCCTGGGAAGGCCCCTGAGACTTGTGGTGGTGCTCCAAAGCCACACTGGTCTTCACACATCATTTGGGTATAGCCCTGCAGCTCTGCACAGTGGCACAGAGTGGGGCGGGGGAGCACAGACTCACTGAAGGGATGTGAGGGCACGGTTTTCTCTCACTGCTGCTGCAATGGCCTGTGCACCCTGGTCGTGGAGGAGGTTGGCTGTCAGGCTGGAAAGAAGGGAACAGGAGCAAAGGAGTGGGGCCCAACCGTGAAGCCCTCTGTCCTCAGTCACCAGGGAATTCAGACCACTCACCCCCTCTGCTCCCCAAGGAAGCATCAATGTCAAAGTTTTCAAGTTCATGTTTAAGGGAACTGGATTGCTGTACTGAATCCTGACCACAGACCAGTGGGGGTTGTCCCAGGCTCAACTTGGTGGTTGTGATGACAGGTCACACAGCCAGGATATGGTGGAGCTACCTGTGGGTCACGCCGCCCAGGAGCTCCACATCCACTTGTCAGAGCCCTTCCCACGTACTTGTCCACATCACTGGGTAAGGCAGTGCCTCAGGCCAGCCTCATCCTTGTGTGAGTTATACCCAGCCTCCCAGCTGCTCCTCCCCAACCAGGTTCTTCTCTAACCCTGTGGAATGACAGTGGTGCCCAGGGCTTGGCTGTCATAATGGCACCCCTCAGCTCTGGGCTTTTTGTGGTGTGGCCATGGTCATTCAGAGCCCTCAGGACCCCCCCCCAGACCCCCATCACATACTCTAAGTTCCTCAGGGTGCTGTTGGTGCAAAGCGCATGAGCCACAGCCTGGGCTCCCTCAGGGCTAATGGAGTTTTCTCGCAGGCTGAGGAAAGAGAGAAGACCCTGAGCTGCTTACCCAGCAGACGTGGCCTCTGGCAGGAGACAAGCCCAGCTATTTAGTTTGCTACAAGCCTAAGAATCCTTAGGTGGGACCTAGCCTCCTGAGCAATGTGGGCTGAGGTGTGAAGAAGCCTGTTCCAGCTGCTGGGCTCCATGGCTGGCCAATCAGGCATCCCCACTTTATGCCCATCCACAATGCAGGGAGTCCAGGAGGAAGTGGATAGCACAACAGGACAAGACTTCAGAGGGACAAGAGGTGAGCGAGCATGCAGGGGTGCCCAAGAGGCTTGTGTCTAGGAAGGGGGCAGCAGAACAGACCCACTGAGGGCTATAGCTGTCCCCTGCTCCCTAAGAGTGGAGGAAGAGCAACAGGCTGCCAGGAAGACTGCCCAGCCATAGATTTCCCCCATAACAGGCTTCCCAGTGCCAAGGTCCCTTTAGACCCCCCATCAATGGGACAACTTGGCTGAAGAGGGAGGCCAGGACTTACTTGAGGCTGAGAAGGGTCTGGTTGGTGCAAAGGGCCCCCATCAATGCTGCCACTCCCACGTCACTGATGGAATTGCTCTGTAGGCTGCAGTCAGAACAGAGTACCCTTGGTGGGGCTCTCCTGGGACCCAGAGGGAGCTGCCCACTCTAGCCTGGGACCACAGGCCCTGGGTTTAACAGGGCGTTGGAGGACCTCAGAGGGTCACCACCCACAGTGCTCTCAACCCTGTTTCCCTTCCCTTCCCCACACCTTCTAGCCCCTGCCAGATCAGGGCAAGTGGGTTTGTGCAATGAGCCCTAAACTTCAAACTCAGTCTCTATGTCGGTGGTTCCAAATGGCCTTGGTATGGCCTTGGCCTGCATCCCCCAAAGAGATGGGTACAGGATTCTTTCCAGTGTGGAAGCAGCACCAAACTCCTCTACTCCTCTCCAAGGCTACCATCACCAACTCTTTCTTGAACCACCTGTGCTACCTCTCAAAGGCACTCAGAGCTTGTCATTCTGAAAACTCAAGAACCAACTTGAGCTCCTGTCTAGGGAAATGTAGCTGATGGGTGATGAGGGTTCTGGCAGGGAAGTGGCCCTATTCCAGGACTGCCAGCCCAGAATCTGCTGAACGGAGAACCCAGAGGGAATCACCACCCCTGGACAGTGGTCAGGCATACTCACTCCAAGCTCTCCAGGCTCTGGTTCACCTTCATGGCCTCAGCCAGGGCCTTGGTGCCTCCATCACCAATGCTGTTACTGGAGAGCCTGTGAGAGATGGGACATGGTAAGCTGGCCTCCTGCAGCAGCCTGGGGAAGGCTGGGCCTGGGGATAGGGGCCCCAGGAAGCCTTCAGTGGAGAGCTGAATCTGATGTCTTAAGGGTGTCCAATGCACAGTCGGTTCTGCCTGAGACCTGTTGGGCCATGTTCTATGTAGTTGACTGTAAGAGATCAAGGCAGCAAAGTTCTGGACTCTCTGGAAAGAGCAGGTGGGGGCAGGCAGGGTCAGCCCTTTACCAAAAAGAATTTGTGATACTTTATGTGAAGATGGCCAGGAAATGCTGTTTTTCTTCTATCAGCTGGGAAAGCAATAAATGTGAGCTTGAAGAGGTAGGGCTCACCCAATCTTTGGAACCTGGTTTTCCATTCTGCTGGTCTAGTGTTTTGGAGTCCAAAGCCAACTAACCGCCACCCATCCATCTACCCATTTATCCGTTCATCCATTCATCCATCAGTACACCCATTTATCCACACACCCATCAATCCACTCATTCATCCACCCATCTATTTACTCATTCATCCATCCCCACACCTATTCAACCATCCTTCCATCCATCCATCTACCCACCCACCCAGACAGCCAGCCACTTACCCATCCATGTACCCAGGTCCCTATCTAGCCACTCTTCAGCCACCTACCCAATCTTCTGTCCATCTATCCAACCAGCCAGCCAGCTGTCTACCCATCCATCCACTCATCTACCCAGCTATCCATCTTCCCTGCCAGCCATCCAACCATCCAACCATGCATCCTTCCTCATGCTCACTAATATTTATGATGGGTTTGTCATTGTGCTGGACACTGAGCATGCAAATTTGGCCCTTCTGCATTTCTCACATGAGCTCCTTCAGATTCTTGTTCTGCTTCAGGGCATCTGCCATTCGCTGAGCTCCCATGGGTCCAATGGTGTTCTTTTGCAGGCTGTGTGAGAAGAGAGGGATCCTCAGTACAGCTGGCCATAGCTGTTCCCAGACCAAGGACAGATCAGGTTCAAGGTCAGAGACAACTAGTGTGCCCTCTCCATTTATCACAGCAGGGGAACAGGGATCTCCTGGAAAAGTCTTGATTGTTGCCAAAGTGATGCTAGTGGGCTGACATTATGTGGGAGAGTAAGCAGCAGAGCAGCTGAGGCCTGTTGTAAGGGGCTGAAGAGCAGAGGGTGTGGTGATGTCTAGCAACCTGCCAAGTGGGGACTTTCCTAGACAAGTCCTGTGGCCCTCACCCAACAGTCTGCCTCCTATCCAGACCAGCCAGCAGCCTGCCTCCACCAAAAGAAACCTCAGGGAGACCCTCTGTTAGGTTTCTTTTCTTAGAGAGCTACTTCATTTTCTCTGCAATCCTAGGACAGACAGGGCAGGGCCTTTCCTCCTATGTGAGGCTAAATACAAATTTTTTTTTTTTTTGAGAAAGAGCCTCAAGCTATCCCCCTGAATAGAGTGTTGTGGCATCACAGCTCACAGCAACCTCCAACTCCTGGGCTCAAGTGAGTCTCCTGCCTCCACCTCCCAAGTTGCTGGGACCACAGGTGCCCGCCACAACGTCCGGCTATTTTTTGGTTGCAGCCATCATTGTTGTTTGGCGGGCCCAGGCTGGATTTGAACCCGCCACCTTAGATGTATGTGGCTGGCGCCTTAGCCACTTGAGCCACAGGCGCTGAGCCACAAATCTTTTAAAAATGTAATTTTCCTGGGTAGCACCTGTGGCTCAAAGGAGTGGGGCACTGGCCCATGTGCTGGAGGTGGCGGTTCAAACCCAGCCCTGGCCAAAAACTGCAAAAAAAAATGTAATTTTTCCCTGGTTCCAAAAAGAACAGAAACACTCCCTGATACACCTTTTCTTAGAGTATTTCCTTAAGAAAACTTGAGATTGCAAATCCTTTCTCTGTCCCTTTGAGATGTGTATAAATCTTTTTAAAAAGCTAAATCAGCCTCTTGCCAGTTTCACAGCCAGGAATATCTTTTATAAGGGACTCAGATGTTTTTCTTTGAAACATCAAAGGAAGACAGAGTCCCTACCTGCCTGCCTCTGTGAAAATTAGCCTGAGGAACCTTTCTAGGTAAGTACCTGCATGTCATAAAGATAGGAGAAGTTTTATTTTTCCTTTGGATAAAAGAAATTAGGGAGCATAGGTGGCCACCTTTATTATCAGTTGAATTTAGGACGAATTGTGGATGAAAAATGGTGCTGTCAGGTCTTCTTGCTTGAGGACAGTTGTCTGTTTATCTTGAGAACCCAGCTATAGGAAAGGGTGAGATTTCTTTTTGTCTTTACAGTGTCATTGGCAGGTTGTCCATGATGCACACTGTAGTTGGTTATTTAATAATAAGCATTACATTGCTTATCCAGTAATAAAACTATTCTTTCCTACATCTGTGGAGAGGATTTTCTAGCTTAGCAGGAGGATTTATATAAAATTATTTCCCCAGTATCTGTTCTCGGGATAACAGTGAACATCAAGTGTCCTAGGGGCCATCCAAATGGGTCAGAAGCCTTAGAGGCCTTTCCCCATCCATTCCCCCCTTGCAAGAAATAGGCAGAGAGGCCCTGGGAGGAGGCAAGAGAGGCAAGAGGAAGCACGTCCACTTACTGCAGCACGGAGAGGGTCCGGTTGGAAGCCAAGGCCTCAGCCATGGACCTGGCACCATCATCCCTGATTGTGTTGCTCTGGAGGCTGCAGAGGCAAGAAGAAGCGCACCCAGAGGTGGCCTGAACTCTCACCAAAAGATGGCTCAGAGGCCCAATGGGTGACAGCAGCTGACTTCAGTGAGAAGGGGTTCTGACACTGCATGCTTTGATTGCTAACCAGGAAGGGAAAACAGATGGCCCTTCCTGCCATTGCTTGGGGCTTAGTTTTTCTCTGAATCTGTAAGCAGTTGCCTCCCAACTGGGAACAAGGTGCCTATGCTCTCTGGATAACAATGACAAGGTCATCAATAGTCCTTATAGCTAAAAAACTCAGTGCCCAAATGTCAGCAAGTATATGGAGAAATTGCAACCCTCACACTGCTGGTGGGAATGTAAAATGGTTTAGTCTCCATGGAAAGCAGTCTGGCAGGTCCTCAAAAGGTTAAACATGGAGTTACCACATGACCTAGCAATTCCACTCCTAGGTATATACCCAAAATAATTGAAAATAGGTACTTGAAGACCTGGATATGAAGGCTCATAGCAACATTATTCATAGAGCCCAAAAGGTGGAAAGAACTCAAATATCCATTAGTAGAGAATAGATAAACAAATTATGGTCTGTCCACATGATGGAATATTATTCAGCCATAAAATGGAAAGAAGTATTGATACAGGCTACAACATGAATGAACCTTGAAAACATTATGCTAAGTGAAGTAAGGCAGACACAAAAGTCCACACATTATATGATTTCATCTATAGAAAATATCCAGAGTTGGTAAATCAATAGAGACAGGAAGGAGATTGGTGGTTGCCAAAGCTGGAAGGAGGGGAGAATGTGGAGTGATTGCTTATGGGTACAAGTCTCCTTTAGAGGTGATGAAAATATTTTGGAACTAGTAGAGGTGATCATTGCATAGCATTGTGAAGGTACTAAATGTCATTGGACTGTACACTTTAACATGGTAAATGTAAGTTTCACTTTAATTAAAATAAAAAAGTAATAAAACTAGAACAAAATGACAGTACCCACTCAACTAAGGATGGACACAACTACGAGCTCCTCAAGGGGACACAGCAAACCATACCAAACCATAGGCACCTCTGGAAGGTAGGCTTTTTAATGTCCTAGAAAACATCTCGGGGGAATTTTGACACCATAACCTTGGAGAGCTCCCCCTTCATCAGAGGATAAGAGGTTTTCCTTAGAGATTATTCTGCTGTTCCATCTCTAGTACCCTTCTGCCACTTCTCCTCTCTTTGCTGCTCAGGCCATACACACAAGCTCAAAAACTGAAAAAGAGCCAGAACTTGGAAACTCACTTAGGATACAAGATCCCTGGTACCAAAGAGGATGGAGGCTGGTGTCAAATGCCCACCATATTGAATTGCCTCCCACTCTATAGATGGCACTGAGGAGAAGGTTTTCTGGGCCCTCTCCTGGGGCCAGCAGGTAACGTACCTCAGCGAGATCAGTGTGTGGTTAATTTTCAGAGCATCTGCCAGAGCCTTGGCCCCTTGTGGTCCAATGGAGTTACTGCGGAGGCTGGCAGAAGGAAGAGAAAGAACTGTTGTTCTCTTCCATCTGACTCCCAAGAAGGAAGAGAGAACAGAGATGACACCAACCCTCACATCTATGATCCTTAAAGGAAATGTGTCAGGATTTAAGGTTTCACATTTAGTGGAACCAAGGCAGAGATCTTTGTATAGTGAACAAAGAAGGAGTTTCCAAGATAGCCCCAGCCCCGTGTGATGGGCAGAAAGGCAAGACCTGATGGACTAGTGGGCTTGGGCAGGTGTACAGCTGGGGATAAAGCTAATCCCAGATTCGGGGCCCCAAATCTGATGTTTCACAGAGTGGGGGCTCAGCTGTTCTTCCGACCCACCCAGGGGAGCTTGTGAGCCAGGGGTGGTTTCCCTCTGTCCTATTCCTACAGGAGCCTGAAGTCCTTGGAACCAGCTCCAAGTGCTCCCTAGGGGCTGAACCTGGAGAATCAGGAAGAATTGATAAGATTCCAGTCATGTCAGGGCAGAGGAAGGCACTTCCCAGAATGGTTCACAGCTCCCCTGGTCCCAGTGATGAAGTGTGGCCTTTGGTGTCCTACTTACTCCAGAGTGGTCAGACTTCTGTTGACCAGGAGGGATCTGGCCAGAGCTTTGGCCCCTTTGTTACTGATCTGGTTCTCAGCCAAGCTGCCCAAGGAAAGAGAGAAGACCAGTCATTTCAGGCATATAAATCTTGTCTCCTCTCCTTCAACACTTCTTTAACCCCCTAGGCCTGTCTAGCATCATCAAGGCCTATACACAGGTGGAGATAAGATGACGTCTGGAGCAGAATGGCAGACAAAGAAAAACCCCTGGGCAGGGTAAGGCCAGAGTGGGTAGACAGACCTCACCCTGACAAGGGGTTCCAGGGAAATGTTTGGCCAGAATTCAGCACAACAGCTTCTACACCAGTAGTGCAGCAGAGAACATGGACAATTATAGTAGTCTGCCCAGGGATGCCAACCACTGGCACACTGGTAACCTGACTCAGAAAAAAACAAGGGACAAATAACTGGTCTGTAGCATTTTCTTATTTCCATGGTGTAAATATTCCCACTATGGCCAAATTGCAAAATTCCTAAAAATTTAATAGTTCTTATGAACTGATACAAGCTAGTTCCAAAACACTACTCATATTAGCCTCTACTCTAGTGCAAAGTGGGAAATAGTAGAGTTATTACAAAACTAAAGGAAAAAAAGAACTGTACATCTGTATCTGCCTTGAATGAGTGATGCCAGGCATTTGCTGGTGAATCTACTTAATGTTGCCACATGTATCCAGTTTCAGAAATGGTAGCTGTTGAATTTCTTGACAGTTTTTCAGGCATTTAGCCCATGGGATATAGTTGTTCAATTACAATTCCCAGGCTGGTGCTTTTTAAGCTATTTTCCAAGGGCCCCTAGGATTCCCAGAAAACCACAGGCCAACAGGAGGATGAGGGAGAACTAACGGGCTGGGCTTGGGCCCCCGCATCCCCACTTCTTTCAATCCCAATAACTCCCTTTTTGTCTGTTGTACTTCAGAGGATTATGCCCAACACATCACTTTTAGAAATGGTTCTATTGCTGAGCTGGGCACAGTGGCACATGCCTATAATCCCCCCTATTCAGACAGCTGAGGCAGGTGGAGCACTTGAGGCCAGGAGTTCAAGTCTAGCCCAGGCAATACAGCAAGACCCTGTCTCCGAGAAAAGAAAAAAAGAAAAAGAGGTGTTCCATTGTTTAAAAATGTTTAAAGATCAGCTTGGTGCCTGTAGCTCAGCAGCTAGGGTGCCAGCCACATACACTGGGGCTGGCAGGTTCGAACCCAGCCTGGGCCTGCCAAACGACAAAATCAACTACAACGAAAAAAATAGCCAGGCATTGTGGTGGGCACCTGTAGTTCCAGCTACTTGGGAGGCTGAGGCAAGAGAATCGCTTAAGCTCAAGAATTTGAGGTTTCTGTGAGCTGTGACACCACAGCACTCTATGGAGGGTGACATAGTGAGACCCTGTCTCAAAAAAAAAAAAAAAAGATTAAAAAAAAATGTTTAAAGATCTGGCGGTGCCTGTGGCTCAAGTAGTAGGGCACCAGCTCCATATACTGGAGGTGGAGGGTTCAAACCCAGCCCCAGCCAAAAACTGCAAAAAAAAAAAAAAAAAGTTTAAAGATTACTGTGAACCCTGAAAACCTAATCCATCAAGATGAATCCTAAGTGACTAGCTGGCCTTCAATTAAAACTACAGTCAAGTGATCATTTGCTGACTAGAGGTCACACATTTTTTTTTCTTGTTTTTTGAAACAGAGTCTCACTTTGTTGCCCTCAGTAGAGTGCCCTGGTGCCCTGGTGTCACAGCTCACAGCAACGGTCCAGCTCTTAGAGCTTAGGCGATTATCTTGCCTCAGCCTCCCGACAGGCGCCTGACACAATACCCGGCTATTTTTCTGTTGCAGTTGTTGTTTAGCAGGCCCAGGCTGGGCTTGAACCTGTCCCCCTCGGTGTATGTAGCTGGCGCCCTACCCACTGAGCCACAGACGCTGCCCATACACAGGTTCTTTTGAGTTCCCAGAAAACCTACAGGTCTGCTTAACTTTGGGACTTTGATAGCTGCCTATTCCTGTTTATGCTGCTTGAAGCAATCAGTAGTCGGTGACCTATAACAACCAATCAGAACTCATCAAGGATCAGCCAATCAGAACTAGGCAAGTTTGAACCCTTCATTTGCATAAACTGACCTGGGTGGAGATTCTATAAAAGGTCAATCCTAAAGCTCATCCTCCCTAATCTTCAGAGAAATGCAAATCAAAACCACCCTGAGATATCCCTTAACCCCAGTGAGAATAGCCCATATCATAAAGTCTCAAAGCTGTAAATGCTGGTGTGGTTGTGAAGAGAAGGGAACCCTGTTACACTATTGGTGGAACTGCAAACTAATATAGCCTCTTTGGAAATTAGTATGGAGAATCCTCAAAGAACTCAAAATAGACCTTCCATTTGATCTCACAATCCCATTATTAGGCATCTACCGAAAAGAAAAAAAAAATCATTTTATCATAAAGACATTTGCACTAGATTTATCACAGCTCTTTACAATTGCCAAGATATGGAAACAGCCTAAATGCCCATCAACCCAGGAATGGATGAATAAACTGTGGTATGCGTATACCATGGACTACTATTCAGCCATAAAAAAGATGGAGACTTACATCTTTTGTATTAACCTAGACGAAGAATTAACACATTCTTCTTAGTAAGGTATCACAAGAATGGAAAAGCAAGTATCCAATGTACTCCATACTAATAAGAAGCCAGTAGAAAATCTAACACATGCCCACATAAGAGAATAACTCAATTCAATTCAAGTTGTTGGGAGAAGGAAGAAGAGGGAAGGAGGGAGGAGGATTGGTGTGCTCCCACCTAATGAGCCCAATGTAAGGGTATATGGCACACCTCTTGGGTGTGGGACACTTCTACAATAGGGACTTTACCTAACAAACACAAGCATTGTAACCTAATTGTTTGTACTCTCAAATTAATCTGAAATTTTAAAAGGAAACAAAGATCAACCCTCCCTTTGTCCTCCAAAGAGGCTTTGTCTCCCTGATTTTGCAAACTGTTCTCTGAAATAAGGACTTTTTTCTCAAATTCTTTTCAGAGAATTTTGTTCACACCATTCATCTAGGGCATTTTCCTTCTTTCTTTCTTTCTTTCTTTTTTTTTTTTGAGACAGAGCTATGGGCACTGAGCCCATGCAGGCCATTTCTATAAACATATTCTCAAATTCTAGAAAAGTCATTGTTCCCTCCAGTACTTCTATAATATTTTATAAATAATATTTAATGAGCAGCCATTTGCATTTTCTGAAGGATGCCTTGGGCATTTCAAACAAGGATATGGCATTGAGCACCAACATAAAGAGGTACTGGGGAACATGTGGCCATAGGAAAAATTTTTGGCTTCATTCAGAATAACTTCTGAGTACTACCCAGCTTCCTTTAAGCAAAACTAGAAGTTTGTCATGTGCCAAAAATGCTTGGGGACTCCTATGAAGGAAAAACCTATTAATAATGGGTTGTCATTATCATTTTTTTGTTAAAGAAGTTACATTTATATCTTCTGCTAACAAGGCAAAAGTAATCCTGTTAATAATAACCAGCCCTGGGTTTGGCGCCCATAGCTGATTACGGTGTCAGCCACATACACCGGGGCTGGTGGGTTTGAACCCAGCTCAGGCCAGCTAAGCAATAATGACAACTGCAACAGAAAAATAGCTGGGCATTGTGGTGGGTGCCCATAGTCCCAGCTACTTGGGAGGCTGAGGCAAGAGGATCACTTAAGCCCAAGAGTTTGAGGTTGCTGTGAGCTGTGATACCACGGCACTCTATCTAGGCCAACATAGTGAGACTCTGTCTCAAAAATAAATAATAATAATAATAACCAGCCCTTACCCAGAGCTTTCTCTGCACCCGAACTTCACAACAACTCTAAAAGGCAATGTGGGCTCTGCAGACATAGCATAGTAGTCACAAGCCAGCCACATGTACCGAGGGTTGCAGGTTCGAACCTGGCCCTGGCCTGCTAAAACAGTGACAACTGCAACAAAAAAAAAGCCAGGCATTGTGGTGGGCACCTATAGTCCCAGCTACTTGGGAGGCTGAGGCAAGAGAATCACTTAAGCCCAAGAGTTTGAAGTTGCTGTGAGCTGTGATGCCACAGCACTCTACCCAGGGTGACATAGTGAGACTCTGTCTCAAAAAAAAGGTAATGTGCACTGAAGGATTAACCTGGCCCTTAGAATATGCTGGCATAAGAATGTCTTGGTTTACCTGGGGGCCTTGGGCCATGTTGGAGAGTTTATCTCACAATATGATTTGTGGTAGGGGTCTTGGGCCATGCAGTACCAGCTTGCCCTCTGTAGACTAAGGTCATTCATCCAAGTGATCAGATATGTCTTTGTAACCCAATCCCCAATTAAAAATCCCAGACACCAAGGCTTTGATGAATGTCCTTGGTTGGCAGTATTTCTAGCGTGTCATACATTGCTGGGAGAAGTATTGCCATCTGTCCACTAGGAGAGGACAACTGGAAGCTCACACCTGGTGAGCTCACGTCCTTTCAATGTAATTAATTGTAACCATGAGTATAATGGTGTTTTTGAGTTCTGAGACCTAGCAGATTGGTGAACCTGAGGGTGGTCATAGGGATCCCCCCAATTCACAGGTAGATATTCTTTTAAGCCCATTTTTATTACCAGGTGATTTGTTCAAGGTCATACAGAGCCCATGACTCTAACCACTATCCTCAATGACTGACTTGTTCCTGACTCAGTCTAAATTGTTAACTCCAATAAAGATTACTTCAGAACCTGGAGGCTTGTGTAAGGATGAAAAATTACTCCCTGAGTGCTGTTCTCCAACTACCCTCAGAGCATCACATCAACTCAACTACAAAGCAGCATGTTATGTGATCCAGAAATGTTATTCCAGGAGAGATTTCATTAGTACATAAGCCAGCATACAAACTTTTGTCTAATGATAGCATTAAAGATATAGTTTTTAAATTAAAAGTTATTTAAATTCTAATGCTTCCATGACTGCAACAGTGTCTGGTCATTTCCCTCTTCTTATAGATGAGGTACCTGAGCCTCTGGCACTTTCTGGAATGGGCAGAAACAAGCAGACTGGATCCTGAGTCACAGGCTTCAAAGATAACTCTCCTTGAAGGTGCCACTGGCCAGCTGCACAGAGAGGATGATGGGGAGGGGGCCCCATAGCCCACCAGACAGGTGTGTACCCTGGGGGGTCTCCTGGGTCAGCATTACCTGATCTTCTGAATGCGACAGTCCTTTCCACTTAGCACACTGCCCAGCAAGTCCATCACTGGATCCTGGAACTGGTTGGTGTCCAGCCTGCCCAGGGGAGCGGTGACAATGAGTGTCGGCTGCAGACTCACTCTCTGCCTCTCTGCATCCCACCCCAGAACCCTCACTGCAGCTCAGAGATGTATGCTAAGCACACCCACTGTGTGCGCCTTTCTAAGAGAGGGAATGGAAGGTTTGGTGAGCCCTGTGGTGCCTGTTCAGAGGCGTCTCCTCACAGGCTGCCATCCCAACAGTCCACGTGCCACATGCCTCTGCAGGACACCATTTGTAAGGGCACCTAAGCTGCTGTCAGCCCACAGCTGACATTCCCTCAGCCCACATTTTCCCCTTCCTGCTTGCTAAGGTCTAGAGAAGTAGAAGAGGAGGACAGTGCCAGCTTCCATCAGACAGAATGGTTCAGGAGGTGTTGTGAATTGGATTGTGTCCCCCAAGCAGACATGTTCAACTCCTGACCCCCAGTGCCTCAAGAATGTGGCCTAAATTGGAAAGCGGGTTGTTGCAGATGTAACTCATGAAGATAAGGTCATGCTGGAGTGGAGCAGGCCTATAGTCCAGTGTGATGGTGTCCTTTTCAGAGAGGACAGTACCATGTGAAGACAGACACACACAGGGGAAAAAACAGCATATGACACAGAGTCAAGGAATGGAGCAATGCTGCGACAAGCTAAGGATCACCAAGGATTGCTGGCACTGCCGGAGCTAGAGAGGCAAGGGAGCACCGTCCCTACAGGTGTCAGAAGGAATGAGGCCCTGCTGACACCTGTATTTAGACTTCTGGCCTCCAGAGCTGTGAGAGAACAAATTTCTGTTGTTTGAAACCGCTGAGTTTGTGATCCTTTGTTACAGCAGCTCCAGGAGATGGATCATGGTACAGGAAGGAACATCCAGGTCCTTCTCTCACCACTACCCCCACCCCTCCCCAGCCCAACCCCAGCCCATCTCAGCACCCACCTGAGGCTCTGGCAATACAGCAGCTGGGGCAGCAGACTCTGGAGGACGCCTGGGCTGAGGCACAGGGACAGGTTGGCCTCCTGTGCGCAGGCATCAGACACTTGTAGGAGGTAGGCCAGGGCAGCCCGGTGCAAAGGGGTTGTTAGCCCTGCCAGGGCCCCGCTCTCCATGGCCTCCTGCATGCTGGAGGCCAGCTCTGTGTGCTGTAGCTCATGCAGGCAGTGCAGGATGTTGACCGCCCTGGCACAGACTGCAGCATCAGGGCGCAGACAGCCCTGCAGGAGCTCGGCCGCCTGGGCCCGGTAGCCTTGGTGCTCACCTGGGGCCAGCAGGGAGCCAGCCAGCAGGTTGTTGACTCTCGGAGACAAGAGACCTGAGAGGAAGCGCAGGAATACATCCAGCCTCCCGTCCTCAGCCTGCATGGCCCGCTGGGCTGCGCACCTGAAATGCGTGAGGAAGCCCAGCCTGGGCCAGGACACACCACTCTCCGTGAAGAGGTCGAAGATGGACTTCTTGGAAGCACTGTAGTAATACGTGGCTGCCACGAACTCCTGCAGAGACAGATGTGTGAAGCAATAGGCCACTGAGGAGGCCAGCGTCTCCTCACGCTGCAGGAAGCAGCTGCATGGTGTACCCTGCAGCAGAGTGAGATCCATGCCCAGCGCCTTCATGTCCTGCTCATAAAACACGTACTTCTTCTTGACCAGCCCATGGAAGGCCAGCCTGCCCAGCATACCTACCATCTTGCGGCCACCATGGGCTACCTGCTCAATTCGAGGGCTCACCTTGCCCTTTTCATGCCCCTCCCCACTGAGGGCCATCCTAAAGTACCAAGAGTAGAGCTCACACAGGGTCCTTGGAGGCCGCAGCTCTGTATCCTGGAGCCCTGACCTTTTGTGGCACAAGTAACCCAGCACCAACCCCGTGAGCCTGCAGAAGGCTGGAACAGTACACATCAAGTACAGGGCCCTGTTGGCCTGCACCTGGCTCAGGATCCAGCCCAAGACAGTCTCGTCCTTGGGAAACATTTGCTCCAAACATAGCTTGATCTCCTCCTCATTAAAGCCCCGGATCTCAGTCATCCGGTCCACCAGGCCCCCTGGGATCTGACCAGCTGCACTGGGACGGGATGTGATCCAGACAGAAACTTCCGGAAAGAGGTTTCCTCGAACAATGTTGGTAATCAGGTGGTCCACCTGGATCTCCTTCTTGGGGTCTGTGCAAGCCACAGTATTTGAGAAGTCCAGAGGCGTCTTACACTCATCCAAGCCATCCAAGATCAGGAGGACTCTTGTGGGGGCTGCCAACACCAAGGTGGGCTCCCTGATGTATGGGAAGATAGAGCGAATGAGTCTGTCTGCACATAGCTTCTCGTGGGTGTTGAGATCCCGGAAGGTCAAAGGCAACACCAATGAGAAGTCCTTGCCAACCTGTCCTCGGGCCCAGAGGCGGACAAAGTGTCTTACCAAGGTGGTCTTGCCCATGCCAGCCACACCGACAGTAATGGAGACACGGGGTGGGATGGACACCCGGGAGAGAGGCAGGAAAAGCCTGTCCATGGTGATGGGCCTGGCAGGGCGCCAGCCCCCACGGGTGGCCTCCACCTGTGTGAAGTCATGTTCCTTCAGCTGTAGGTCTGTTAGGCCCTCCACCAGCAGGAGGGTGGTCAGCCTGTGTGAGGTGCTGCCCAGCTCCAGGCCGCCTCCCACCCTGCTCAGCAGGGCCTCTCGGTGCCTCTGTATCCTTGAGTCTGGAGGACAGAGGCCAGAGGTGAAGGCAGGATCAGGGAAGGCTGGAGGGGAGAAGGCCCAGGTAGATCCCTCCATGGCCTCCCAAGCTGTCCTACCGTTGCTGCAGGATCCCAGCGGGGAGTCTGATGTCTTGTCAGGAGGCTGTGGGGCCTGGGAGCCCTGCCCACCCTTCCCGGTCAGCAGGTCCATGAGGGCTTTCACCTGCTCAGCTGGGGAGCTGGTGCCATGGCCCTGGCCAGCCTCCCTGCCCGTCCGCGCCTCCTGCTTCCTCATGGAGTCTGGGATTACCACCAGGAGCTGTGAAGAGAGGCCCCAACCCTGCTGTCTGCCACCCTCACTCAGTGGCCTGGAATGGGTAAGTGAACTCCCAGGAATGGGGCTGAGGAACCTCCGCTTCCCACTTCCAGAGCTGCAGGTAGCTCACTGGCCTCACCTCTAAGAAAGGTCTGGAAGGGCTTATTTGTTTCCAGATGGTGAAAACAATCACATGGATGCAGAAGCCAAATGGATAGGAACTGGGATTCTGGGCTCATACTCCAGCCCTGTCACTTACCAGCTGGGTGACCCTGGGCAGGCTGTGTCACCTGTCTGCATCCTGGTGCCCTCGTTTGTGACCTAAAAATGGTGACGAGGTTTCAAGTAGAGTCGTTGAAAAGGAGAGGGAAATGAAAGAAGCCTGCCTGTGAAGGTGACACAACATGATTCCCACTAACATGCTGGAAAAGGCAAAAGTGTGGAGATACATGTACAGAGCCTGTAACAAGGCCAGGGGCAGGGCAGAGCGATTGGGGGTGGAGCACAGAGGGTCCTTGGGGTAGTGACACTGCTCTGTAGCATACATTAATGGTGAATGCACATCATTATGTGTTTGTCCAAACCCACAGAACATACAGCACCAAGAGTGAACCCCAATGTAAAGTGTAGACTTTGGGTGATAGTGAAGTGTCAGTGCAGGTTTATTGATTGTAACAAATGGACCACTCTGGTGAGCATGTTGATAGTGGCAGAGTCTAGAAGGGAGACAGGGAGAGGGTATACGAGTTTATGGGTTAGAAAAAAAACAGAAAGCCTGGGTTTAGTGCTCATGCCTGTAATCCTAGCACTCTGGGAGGTCAAGGCCGGTAGATTGCCTGAGCTCAGTAATTCAAGAATAGCCTGAGCAAAAGCAAGCCGCTATCTCTACTAAAAATAGAAAAACTAGGCTAATCAAGGTGGCTCACTCAGCACTTTGGGAGGCCAAGGCAGTTGGATTGCCTGAGCTCAGGAGTTCGAGGCCAGCCTGAGCAAGAGTGAGACCCCTTCTCTAAAAAATAGCCAGGTGTTGTGGCAGATGCCTGTAGTCCAAGCTACTCAGGAGGCTGAGGCAAGAGGATCTCTAGAGGCAAAAGAGTTTGAGGCTGCTGTAAGCTGTGACACCAGGGTACTCTACCAAGGGTGACAAAGATAGACTCTGTCACGACAATAACAACAATAAATAAATAAAAATAGAAAAACTAGCCAAGTGTTGTGACAGATGCCTGTTGTCCCAGATACTTGGGAGGTTAAAACAAGGGGGATCACTCAAGCCTAAGAGTTTGAGGTTGCTATAAAGCTCTACCCAGGGCACAGAGAAAGACTCTGTCTAAAAAAACGGGAAAAAAAGAAAAAGAACAGAAAGGAAGAAAAGTCAAAAAAGAGAGAAAGCTACTTCTCAGAGCAGCTACACAGCTGCTTTTCTTACTGTTTTCCCAGGGTCTCCCAGGATCACAGGGGCTCCTGGCCCCCTAGCTGCACTGTTGCTACTGGGGATGGTGATCCAGATGCTAAGAGTCCAAACTATGCTCAAGGCCCACCCATTTACATTCCTCTGCCTCCGTCTTGCCAATGCTGGCCATCCCCCTCTGTGACCCTCCTGTAGCCAAGGTGGACACTGAGGACCCCACACTCACCCCTACCTCCTCACCAGGTATGTAAGCCACGGCAACCCCTCCAGCAGGGCCCCAGGAATCAGGGAGTAAGGGCCAGCCATCTGTCATCCATGGTTTGGGGAGAGAAAACACGATGCATGGCCAACAGAGATCACAGCCCCTTGTTGCTGATGGCAGCCCTGTATGCAAACATGCCCCAGATGTCACTGCACAGAGAAGCAGGTCAGATGCATACTGTCAGACCCTTCAGTTCTCTGATTCTCAGTGTTTAGCTTAAAAATTAACTGGCTAAAGCCCCAAGGATTAATAGATTCCCTGACCCTGGATTTGCATTAGGGATCCTGGAATTTTAACTCAGGTTGAACCTTTTTATTTTTTTGAGACAAGGTTGTGGTCTGTCACCCAGGCTGGAGTGCAGTGATGCCATCACAGCTCACTGCAACCTTGAATACCTGGGGCAATCCTCCTGCCTCAGCTTCCCAAGTAGCTGGGACTACTTGCCATGTTGCCCAGACTGAGCTTGAACTTGAACTACTGGCCTCAAGCAATCTCCTGCCTTGGCCTCTCAAAGTGGTGGGATTATAGGCATGAGCCACTGTGTCCAAACTAGGTGAACATTTTTATCTATAAACTTCTGAAAGAAACGTAGCAATAAGTAAAATAGCATTTTCCAGTCATTTGGTTCATACTAGTGCTGAAGAGGCAAGGGATGCTATGAATTAAAAGTACATGGTATCCAAACAAGCTGAGCAAATCCAGGAACATCAGCACTAAGCCAGAGCACGGCCACTCTTGTTACACTGCTTCAGAGTCCTTGGCTATTCTCACTGTTATTTTTCTAAATGTCAAAGCCAAGGGGAAAAGAGATGGGATTTTGATAAAAGTTGCATTATGTGTGTGGATCCATGTGGGTAACTGGAGGTCTTTCTTTATTTCATTTTGTTTTATTTATTTATTTTTTTTTTTGGAGACAGAGCCTCAAGCT